CTAATGCAGTAATTTAATACGTATTAATCTGTTTGCTTACTTATTCTGCATCTGTCACAGCCTATAAACCCCAGCAACCTGGGAGCTGCTAATTCTACCCTGTTGCTAGAGAAATGCCAAAGAGAAAAGCATAGAAACCTAGCTTGTGCCTGGATGGTAAGCAAATCTGCTATTTATCGCTCACGTGGTTTGGCTTGTCATTCTATTTGAACTTAAATCAGCTGTGTGGACAAAATTTCCTCAGGAAGAGAAGACAAACATACAGAAGGAAGCACTCACTGTACATTTGGAGCCATTTGTTCACTACATAACTAGCTGTGACAGGCTCTAGGAGATTCAATTCAATTCAACCACCAAGTAAAGGGCTTGTCCTGGTAGGAGCTCAATGACATTTAAATGATATACATTTGCTTGGTTCCTCTTCCTTTGTCATACGGAGAAGTCTAGGCACTCACACTATTTAATTATTTATTTTTTTTGGAGATGATGGATATAAATGAAATAATGAGACATAAGGCATTTAGTGAACCAGATTAGAAAGATGAAAAGAAAGTGAACTGAAGATCATCATGAGTCAAGTTCATTGTGGAACACCCCCAAATATTATTTCTTTAGTTGTTTGTACTTTTGGGGGGACATGAGTCATGAGTGTGAGCTGCAGAAAGGGACTGATATGTGTAGCTACTGGCCTAGGGTCAGTCATTTAATGACCTCTAATATTGTGGTCTTCCTCTTTACATTAAGGTGAACAATGCCTACCTTGAAGAATTGTTTTAGGGATGAAGGATGAGGTGAATAGGGCCATGCATGATGTCTGACATAAAGCAAGAGTGAATAAACCACAGCTAGTGCTCACCATGGAAGCCATAGGACTTGACATGAATCTGAGAATGATCAGAATGTCAATGCGTGGAAGAAAAGATAAAGACAACCTTTTTAGCTGCTGTGTAGAACTCTGGTTCCTTTATTTTCACAGGTGTAGACTTTTCCATCATACAAATATTCTACAGTGTTCTCTGAAGGATGGGTCCATTTTCTGGCCATTATTAACAATATGATGCCTTAGTTTCTGAGGGCCTCCATGATAAATTACTGGAAATGGGACTTTAAACAACAGAAATTTAAGCATTTATGGTTCTGGAAGGGCTGAAGTTTGGATCTAAAATGTTCCCCAAAACCCATGTGTTAAAATCTTGGTTCCCCTGGATACTGTGTCATTGAGAGGTGAGGGGCCCTTTAGGAGGTGGGGCCTAGTGGAAGGAAGTTAGGTAATCGGGAGTGTGTCCTTGAGGGGGGATATTGGGATCCTGTTTCCTTCCTGTGTTTCATTCTTGTTTTTGCTTCCCAGTTGCTGTGCAGTTAGCAACTTTGCTCCACCATGTGCCCCCTGCAATGACATGCTGCCTTGTCACAGGCCGTAAACAATGGAGCCCGTCAACCGTGGACTGCAGGCTCTGGAGTCATGAGTCCAAATAAGCCTTTTCTCCTTTCAAGTTGGCTATTTCAGGTATTTAGTCTATACTAGTCAGTAGCTAGGAGCCCTTAGGAAGTTCTTTAACATCCATCTCAACCACAATGTCCTAGTAAAACCCAACTTACCGTATTTGAGAAGATTGAATAAGAGATAATATATGTAAAGTGCTTAGCACAATGTGTGGCACAAAATAACAATGTCTACACCAGGTTGATCACTAATAATTAGTAGCCCCACAGATACGTGGGCTTCAGAGAATTTAAAAAAGGTTTGTTTGCATCACATTCTTTTATCAACTCAGAGTAAATGGAAATACACTTCTAAGAGGGGAGGAAGAAAAAAAACACCTTTATTTTAAACTTGGTTAAACATCCTGTTCAAGTTGTTGCTAGTACTAGAGGCTTGATTCCTTTAAGTTTCTTCCATCTTGCCTAGCCTCCTGTTGTGTCTATAATGATGTCATAAATGCAGGTGTTAGGACTGGGAGAAGGAACTGATAGACTAATAAACTTCTCCTAGGCAGGCTGTGCCCCCATCAATTTAGGCAGTGTCTGAAATCATCCATGTCCCTCTCCGTCTCCTACATGGCTTATGTTCCGTTCATCAAAAGATGCTCCTCTAATTTTCTGGAACACAGTTAGATGATAGTAAGGTGCGAAGTACCTAAATTAACTCAAAGACACTATTCATTAAAGATGAGTTGAGGGCTGGGGTTGTGGCTCAGTGGTAAAGTGATTGCCTAGCATGTGCGAGGCACTGGGTTCAAGTCTCAGTAACACATATAAATAAATAAAGGTCCATCAACAACTAATAAAAATATATTTAAAAAAAGATGAGTTGAGATATAAGAAGACATAAATTCAAAAACAATTCCCTTAAATAGTAAAATACATGCTATAAGAAGTTATATGAAGAAGCTCACAGCTTTTGTGAGCTGTGTTATCCTTAAGAAGAATAATTTTTTAAAAAATAATCTTTCTGCTGCCTTTCCTATACAACAGACACTAGAATGGCAATATGTAAATCAATGGAAGTATAACTGATGTGATTCTGCAATCTGTATAGGGGTAAAAATGGGAGTTCATAACCCACTTGAATCAAATTGTGAAATATGATATATCAAGAACTATGTAATGTTTTGAACAACCAACAATAAAAAAAATTTAAAAAAAAATAATCTTTCATTTTCGACAGCAGAAATAAAATTCCCTTCAACATGACCTAATAGAAAGAAAAATCTCATTACTAATGCTCTCTCTCTGCCTTAAAGTGAATAAGATATAACAAAAAAATTTTTTCATTAGTAGAAAAGTTATATGACTTCTAGGAATTTTTTTTGGTAGTCATTGCTTTGAAGTCTTGGTGGATGAAAATGTCATTTTGCTCTTCAAAACTCATTTGGCCTTTCCTCAACAGCTAGAACAGAGGATTATGATAATTTCCTAGAAGTGTCAAAATTAACAATATACTACTCAGTTTCATGTTAGTCTCTAAGCTTCTTAAAAGATTGTTTTAACAGCTTTTATAAATCTATCCTTGTCTTCTTTAGGCTGCCTGTCTCCTGGATCACCTCTTCTCTCCCACAGCTGCTTCTTTGCATACTTGTGTCTTGAAGTGCTCTGGAAGGCTCACATTCTTTTCCTTCTGTGATGCAGAACAATTTAGTGCTCTTCTATTAGAATTCTCAAGTTTGACTAAGAGTTCAGGGTCTAGGCCAGAGACAGAAACCACACAGTGATTTTAATATAAGGGATTACTAATTAGAAGAAGCCTATTATCAGTCAACCAAAATGGCAGAGTGCACATTAATGTATTCTAGAGTACCAAATGCCGGGAGCAGCTACCACGTCTAAGGCTGGGAGAACAAACAGAAGGGTGAACTATGAAAACATAGATACTTAAAATAGGGTCCTGTGGAACTGAGACTCTGTCCCCTGAGGATAATGAGCTGGGGCTGGTGATACTGAACTAGGAGAAGTCTTCAGGGCTGGGACTCAGACTTGGGGGAGGGGAGAGAGCATCATCTATCTGGTGTCTCTGAGGTGGAGGTGTGATGGAGCTGCCTTTGCAAGTGCTGGAAGGGCTTTCAGCTATATTTAGCTGCTGCTGCAAGAGGGAACTGCCTTTGCCACCTCCAAGTAGTGTCGCTGCAACAAGGTTCGTGGGAGTAGGAAACAGACAGAAAGGAACAAGTCTCCTTTTTCTCAGCTCTGCGATCTTCCTCTTGAGTCCTTTCTTGGTGGAACCTAACACAGAACAGATGGCCAAGTGTGTTTTGCAGGGCTAGCCCCAGCATTACAGAGCAGAGTGCAGAGAGGGCTTGGAGCCCAGAGACAATGTTTAATAATTGGTACACACATCCAGGCAGTAGGATGCTCTGCAAAATCAAAGGGCTTCCATTGAACAGGATTGTCCTTTCAGGTTATAATATCTGCGTTAGCCATCCTGTTTTACACATAGAGGAAAGGCCCTACAGAGTTTGATGAGCCAACAAGTGAACTACTTTTGTTAATTTTTTTTTCTATATATATTTTAAGGTAATTTTTAAGTCATGTGTTGTTTTGGATGGGATTTGAATTTACCTGGTGCTTTGGATGAAAGTAGAAGAATACACGGGAGGGAGGCAGGAAGGCTGGCAGGATATCTATAAAAAATGCTCACTGGCTTAAGTTCTCAGGATCCCCTTGAGACCCCCAAAGGATGTGTTTATTCCCTTCCTGACAACCTGATGCCAGTCCCCTGGACAAGTCATCTCCCTTGGCCACCTATAGCCAGTCAGGGAGAGGATAATGCAGATTTTGGCAATGAAAGACAATTGGCCCCTACTGCTAAAACATGCTTACCAGCAGAGGTTTCTAAGAAAGGTATTATGGGTGTTCTAGGAGAGTACCCTAATTATCCCTGGAGTTCATATCATTCAGAGCAGGGGTCTGAAGATGCACAGCACCATGTGGTACTGGAACATCACGTGCACCACATTTTCCTGTCTCCCTGCATCCTTCCCATGTACACGTGTGTCTGAGCATGTTCATGCAAGCACATGCCCTGATGGGATGCACATGCTATTTGCAACAAGAATGTATAGAGAAGGATAATACAGCAGCAACATGTTGAGTTTAGTCAAGTGCAATGAGGTTGCTGGGCTGGGCTTCATGCTGGCTTGGGATATGACCCCTCTAACTAAAAGGTTTCTGCAGAGAAAATTCAGCATCAGAAGCAGCAACACTACATGTTCTTGTGAGCTTGTGTCACTGGGAGGTTGTTGCCAAGCCTTTGTCTAACCACCATTTTATTTCAGAAAATGCTCCTCCAAAATTATCAAAGCAAACCTGTTTATGATCCCTGGACATTTAAATCAGGCCCTCCAAAGGGTGAATGAGGGACCCTCCAGGGACTTGGAACTCAACTACTATCTCAGTGAGAGAAAGGTGCTCTGCCAGCTTTCCCATTTCTCATTTGGTTTAATGTGAAGCAAGTTACACCATCCTGAGCTTCTGAGGTGCAGAAGGAGAGGAAGAGCCTGCAGTCGGGACTGTGTGGTTGCTCAAAGCTCAAGAGCAGGGTCCAAGACCCCAAGGATCTGATTTGCTATGTTCCCCAGCAATCTGGCATCAAGACATATTTGACTTCCAGAACTGGAAAAAAAAATAAGACATACACTTCAAGGAGTCTGTTGAATTCTGCCACCTGCCCTTGTGATAAGACCCGAGTTATTTACTTATAATCCTCTATTTACTTTACAAGCCCTTGGTCAAGTGATTCAGGCTGGCAGGATGCAAATTTGCTTGTGTGCATTGGAAGGAATATTTCATAATTTACTCATTTTGTGATTCTCCTGGAAGCTAATTTTAAAAAAAATTTTACAAACCATTTTGTTGTACTGGGGATTAAACCCACTGTCTAAGGCATGTGCTCAGCAAGCATTTTAAATTCCACTGAACTTCATCACCAGCCTTGGAAGCTAAATATTTTAAATAAATAAGTTCTATTTCTTTCATGTTCTGTACCCCCCCCCAAAAGGTATTTTCTCTCTTAGTTATTACATGTGTCCAGTGCCCACTTAGGTAGAAATGTGGCAGGGGGATGTGGACCTTGGAGGCCTAGAGCAGACATGAGAAGTTCATGTACAAGTTCTCTTGCCACATCGTGGGGTCTTAGGAGGCATATGTGAACCATGCTCCCTGCAGCAATTTCCTCTTTTTGAAAGAACACTGTTGTGTGTTACTTAGAAAGTCTTGAGGAAATTCTGCTATGATCTCTGCTAATTTGAATGAAAGTAATTTTTTTTTGGTTTAAATGTCCTTGGGGATAGAACACCATATCAGGAGGTCCTTGTGATGTTTTCTGATATCCTTCAGTGTTTTGAAAGCTGCATGTGTTTTGAAAGATTTCTAAACCTTCTTGGCCTTAAGTTTATCAATGAATTATAATCACTCACCTGTGTGAATGTGTGTAATTATAATTCATTGATAAACTAAGATGCCATGAGGTGAACAGCCCTCTTCTGCCGCATGATCCCACCATGATTATGGGAAAACATTCTCAGTTTGTGTTCTGAATTGAAATGAAAAATAAAGACATTGTACAAAAAAAAGAAATTACACATACTTCTGGAATGTCTACACATTATCAATTCTTGTTGGCAATTTGACTCTAGCTGATGACAGTTGATGGTAGAGACCAGCTCTTACAGAGTGTGAGTAAAACATTAGTTGTAAATACTACTCTTAAAATGCCAGAGCAAAGCTCTTTGTTCTGATGCTTGGAAGAAGTAGAACCATGTGTTTATAAGCAAGATGTGGAACAGAAACATGCAAAGAACTCAGGTTCCTGATGACATTGTAGACTCGCTGTATTAACCAATATTGAAGCCACTGGTGTCAGTCAGCTCTCCATCACTATGACAAAAATTGCCAGAAAATTAGCTTACTTTGATTCTTGGTTAGTTGGCTCCATTGCTTTTGGACCTGTGGCAAAGCAGAACATTAAGGCGAGGGCACATGGTGGAGCAAAGCTGCTCACCTTGTTGCAACCAAGAAGTAGAAAGATACATTGCATTTCTATTATTTGTAGCTAAAAACTTCCCAATACAACCTAAAATAGAATAACTCCATCTTAAAAGAAATTAATACCTTTCTACAACCAAAGATACAAGGTACAAAGATAATTTTGCTAAATACAGGAAAATTTGAATCAAATACAGGGAAGACACCTACGGAACATGTATATAACATTTAGGAGATAATGTCAGAAGGGGTTTCTTAAAGGATGTGTTAGGAAGGAGCATGATTGTCATGCTCTCTGAATATTTGAATTTTGTTCCAGGAAGCTCTTAAAAGCTTTGGATTAGGACAGTGCTTTGCTCTGAGTTTATATATATACATTTTTTTTTCTTCTGAATTGTTGATGTGTGTAGAGAAAGGATTGGAGTGAGCAAAGATTTCTCCAAGACGTAAAGACTGTTGCAATAGTCCAGGTGAGAAATGATCGGCTTTTGAAACATTGCATAACCAGGGGTTTCACAGGAGGAGATTTGAACATTTGGTATGTTTAGTGAGAATACAATGAAGGTTTTAAAGTGAAAACCCAGAAATTATGTACCACAGAAACTAAAGGAAGTGAGAAGAGAGTGTGAATGAAGTATTTTCATGATCATCACTAATTTCAGTGACCAAACTTTGAGAGCTGGCTCTGTGCCCCAGGCAGCTTTGGACTATTTATATATAATGTTCTATTTAAGCATTTCTATAATTCGGATCTGGGATGTCCACCAAAGGATCATGTGTTAAAGGTTTGGTCCTCAGCTTGGCACTCTTGGGAGGTGCTGGCTCTTAGGTAGTAAGGTCTAGGAGGAGGGAGTTAGGTCATGGGGGGTGGGTGCACTTGAGGAGGACACAGGGACCTTGGCCCCTTCCTCTCTGTCTTTCTGCTTCCCAGATGCCATGAGGTGAACAGCCCTCTTCTGCCACATGATCCCACCATGTAGTACTGTGCCATGACATGGCCAAGTGACCAGGGTCTGAAACCTTCTGACACTGTGAGCCAAATATAACTTTCCTCTTTATCAGTTGTTTATCTCAGGTCTTTTATCACAATGATGGAATGCTAACACAATTTTCACATGAAACCCACCACAGAGGCCATCCTATTATTCCCATTTTCTAATGAAGGAGACTAGCCGGCACAGAGTCCACCCAGGATTCAGGGTCTCACTGCTCCTGGAGCCTATTTGTTCAGCTGTGGGATAATCTCCTGACACACAGTGATGCAGATTGTCAAGTGGGAAAGAGAGCTGTTGCATTTGGTAATTTAGGAAGTCATTTGTGAGAAGTGTTTCAAGTCTTTGGTGTGTTGAAGTGAGAAGGAGAAGTTAGTAAAGAGACCAGTTTTTGAAGAAACCCAGACATGATGATAAGGTTCACTAGTCTAAAAGATATGGCATAAAAAGACATGTTTTCCACTGGTTATTATAAAATTGCTATTGTGTTTGTTAGTCATAATTATGGTGGTTTGGAGATTACTTGTAGAAAGAGTTTATGTTGAGGTTACTTACAAAGCAAAATACTGTCAACCTTGCTATGGTTTGGATAAATATCCCCAAAGGCCACGTGTTGAAGGGTAGAGCTACTGGGAGGCAGTGAAACATTCGAGAGATGGGGCCTTGTAGGAGGATGTTGGGTCATTGGGGATCATGAGACCTTAGCCCCTTCCTTGTTCTATTTTATCTCCCAGCCATGAGATGAGAAGTTTTGCTGTGCCATTTGTTGCCTGTCATTTGCAATCCAGCAGCCTCAACATAAGCCAAAAAGCAACGGGTTCTTCAGATCATAGTTTGGAAACTCCAAAGCTGCAAACCAAAGTAAACATTTTTTTTTCCTTTATAAGTTGATTGTATCAAGTGTTTGTTACAGTAATAGAAAACTGACTAACAAATTCCCCAAAAAAACTTTTCTCTCTTTTCACATTGAATCCTAAACAAAAGATTCTGCAGGACTAACTCTGGTTAAACTGGGAAATCAAGTCAGCTGCTGCTTAGCACAACTTGGTATATAACAGACTCCCTTCTCTGGGCCCCCATAATTGTTGGATGACCATCCCATGGTTAACCACTTATCTAATCAAATTGATACTATCTAACCCAGATAGAGGCCATCAAAAACTAGTCCAGTGTTTGTTTACATATACAAAATTGCTGTTGTGGAGTGATTGTTTTGAGAGGAGCACTTTCTAGTTGAACCAGATTCTTGTTTATTAGAAAAGCATTCTGGCTTGGTTGTTGGCTCTGTAAGATTATCACAAATGCCCAAATTGCTGACTAATTGCTTTGGTGTAAATGTCAGTTCTTTTCTGAGACTTCTGAAAGGCTGACATCTTGATTCTTCCAATGCTGCTCTTGAACCTGGGAAACTGCACAGCTGGTAATGAGAAAAGGTGGTGATGGTGGCTTTCCCTCTTTCTTGGGATGAGATTAATGGGAGATACTGGAGACTGAATTATTACAACTGCTTATTTACAGAGGGTCAATGGATTTGGACAATCTGATTTTCATACTTGTTGGATTCTGTTCTTCTAGAGGATAGGAACATCTATTCTCCTTCCTACTCTTCCTTCTCTCTACTTTGGAAATGCTCCACAAAGAAGTGGATGGCAAAGAGAGGGCTATATTTTCCAATTAAACAGGAAGTTTCAACATGATGATGTAAATAACTAAATAATTATACTTCCCCAAGGCTTTGTTAAACTTGTCTTTTAAGGAGAAGACAAGACTTTTAGTTTCTTTATGGATAAAGCAAATTTTGTTCCAGCAGGAAAGTTTTTTGAGGTCAGAGACAAGATTTTTTTGGTTCTTTTATATCTATCAAAATTATTATTGTTGTTTATGAAATATTTCCAGTTGTCTCCTCTTCTGGACACATGGTAGGATTCTATTCCCCAGCACCTTTTTGGTAAGTCGGGTCCTGAGATCAGTCTGGCTAATGAGTTAGAATAGAAAGCATGTGTCTCTTCTGTGCTGCAAAGTTTAGCCTCCTGTTTGAGATCCGCCACAGCTTTCTTTTCTTTTTGGCATGGTAACCAGTCATATTCATGATGATGATACCTTTATCAACTTGGATACCCAAATATTAGAAAGATCAGGACCCCACTTCCCAATACTCCCCACCCTCCTATTATCTTAACACTCAATGGACATGTGGCATGAATGAAAAATAAACTTTGGTAACTTTCCATACAATTGGACTGATAGAATGTTAAAGACCCAACTGCATTTCAAGTACCTATTCCATCTATATTATTTAGTATACTCTTTGGGCCACTATACCATAAGAACCTTGGGAGTAGAACTGGGCTTGCATTCATTTTGCTTTCTTGGCATCTAGAAAAGATATATGATATTTTTCAAGGAAAGTTATTGTGTGAATGTTTGGTTACGTGAAAAGACAGGGAAACATGAAGAGAACACGTAAGTGAAATCCAATGTTTCTTCAAAATTTTATGTAAGCTGACAATTTCAGCTTCTTCTCTTACATTGTTCTCAAAGGCATGACTCTCAAGACTAAAATTTCAGCAACTATATTTTCTGTGTTCTGGCACAGTCTTTTAACATAATAAATCATAAGAAAATAATCTTTCTGGGGAAAGAGGTGTGGAGGGAGAGAGAGGGAAATCATAGGCCATGGAGTCATGGTTGAAAATTAGTAATTTTCATGTCAAAACTGTTATTTTTCTTTTGCATAGTAGGAGTACTTACCAGATGCATTCTGGAGATGGAAGCAATCTAGTCTTATGGACAGTGATCTCCAATAATTGTGACTCCCAACTATCCAACAACTTGTTAAGTAACAACTCATTTTTCTGTAGTTCAATCAGATTAAGTTGATCAGGATCATAATTTGGCTGAGTAGAGGAATGAGATGATCATTAATAACATATCAAATGTCTGTATTCCCAGCCAAAATATAAGAATCATTTTAATTAAGTAGGCTTGAATGCACAGTTTCTGTTGAGCTTTCTGAAATATTGAATATAACTTGAAGGTTCTCTGATTACTCCCTTTGAGTAATAGTCTAGAAGTTGCTTACTCCCTTACTTCATTCAGATCCCTGAACCATATATGCTACTTTAAACAGCCATAACCTCATCCTGGGCAGACCTCCGCTATTTTTATAGAATTTATGACCTAAAATTATGCTGTTTTCCATTATTTACCTGGTGGTTGTGTAGGTTTCCCCACTGGAGTGTAAGGTTCCTAAGGTTAGAAGGACATCTCCCCTGTTCACTGTTTTAACACTGGGACCTGCACAGTGCCTGGTTTATATTCACCACTCAGTATGTTCTTGTTCAATGAATGAACAAATGAATGTGTCCATAGGAATGAATTGCTTGGATCACAGAATTCATACACTGACAGACAGAAGCAGAAGGAAATCTAGAACTCTCCAGTTCAAAGTCTCCATTTTACAGATTAGCACTACACTGTCTGTCTAGAATGACACATAGGTTTGTGGTCATGACCATGACTCATGGCCCTGTGTTACTTTAATTTCAATATGCAATGTACAGCTGCTGGAGAGCGAGTAGGTGGGAGGAACATGAAAGCACCTGGAATGGAAAAGGGAAATAATGGGAACAGAGGTCTCAGTACGTCTGACCTTCCCACTGTTCCCCAGCAGATCCCTTAGTGAAGATGGCAATGAAAGTAACTGGGATTCTTTCTGGAGGGCAGAGGAATGAAAAAGGTTGTGAAGAGCGCCCAATGCAGAGGAATGAAGATGCTGTATTTTTTTTTCCTTTCCATCATAAACTTAGAATACCTTTCATTTTCCCCATAATTCTTTTAGAATCATGAGCCACTGAGCATTTTCAAAAGGCTTTCTGTTATGTCATAAATATTCAGACTGGGGCTGGTAATTGTTCCCTGTGATTAGTTCTGCTTACTCAGGGAAAGTTGTGCAAGGTTTTCACTGGAGGGTATGTCTTTCATGTTTTAATGTTACTCATGTATAATGCAATTTGTCCTGAACTGGAGTTGAGACAGTGGAGTTAGGGTGAAGGGCTTTTTTTTTTTTTTTTTTTTTTTTTTGTCTCATGGCAATGTTTGGATGTTTGGAAGTACTTAAATTGAATGGTTGGTATTGCCCCTCCCTGAGCTGAGATTAAGGTAATTGATGGGGCTCAGGGCCAGAAGTTCCTACTGGCCCTTTCAGTTGCATTGGTCTGAGGTTAATGGAGAAAAGTGTGTGTTGAAGGTTACGGCAGTTCCCTTTGCTTCCATTTTAATGACACTTGCCTGCCAGTGTTTTCTCTTTGAAGAGCAATTTAATAAACAATCACTGGCGTTTCATGTGGAGGGCAAGATTTGTAATGGCATTCATCTCCCCGGGAGTTCTTCCTCAGCACAAGATTGCATCAATGCCGTCACGAAGAATATGGGCCAGCCAAAGCACCAAGCATTGGTGGCTCCAAGTGAGGCATGGGGCCCCCATGGCAAGGGTTGATATGGGCTAGGGACAAGTGTGTGGGACGATTTGCAGAATGATTCCAAGCCCTGCTTAAATACTTCTGATTTTAAAAACATCTCCCAAGGAAGTCAAATCTGAGCCTGCAAATATACGGAGAACCCTTAAAGGTAGGATCAAGGAACAGTGGGCACACAGAATGCTCCAATGTGACGTCAGGCCACTCTGCTCTCTGGGGTCAGAAGGAAGCTGGACAACCGGAGGGTTTTCATGGTTGAAGTTGACCATGAAAACTGTGAGGAAATCATCATCAGATGGTGCTTATGAAGCACCCGTGTGTCACACGGCACTGTTCTGGGTGCTATGTGAAGCAAGCCCCGGCAAGCACTTGGATTGTGCGTCGATTTTTGATTAAAATCACATGTAAATTTATACAGCCAATTAGAGTGGGCCTCAGGCTCCGGTGAAGGTGCTGTGTGGGCTAAAGTAGAGCCCAGGTGAGCCATCACTCTCAGAGGGAATGAGCTTGACGGTTTTCCGGTTTTGCTTGTGCTGTAATTAACAGCAATTCTAGAAAAATCACTGAGGTCAAGAGAGAGCTCCTGAGTGGGAGTCCCTGGCAGGCCACAGGGTGGGGGATGGCAAGGATGACAGCCATTCCTCCACAAGTGGTGCCACTCTGTGTGAGACTGGAGGGACCCACCCATGGCTTTCCCCAGGACCATTGCAGTGGCAATTGCAGCAGGACCTCAAATATAATGAGCAGTTTATGTCTCTCTCTTTCTCCCTTCCTCCCTCCTTTCCCTCTTTCTCTCCTCCACCTCCTTCTTTCAGCCAGAACTACTCTTAATAGGAAGGAGAGCTGACTGTGACAAACTCTCAAATAATTAAGGGAAGGCATGGTGATAGGTAACTCACTCACACATGATTGACAGGGGCCATTCCTATGGTTGTGCACAAGCATATTATAAGTTTCAGAAATGATTTTTGAGGCCAGGGGTGGTGGTGCATTCCTATAATCCCAGTGGGTTGGGAGGCTGAGGCGGAGGATTTCAAGTTCAAAGCTAGCCTCAGCAAAAACGAGGTGCTAAGCAACTCAGTGAGACCCTGTCTCTAAATAAAATACAAAATAGGGCTGGGGATGTGGTTCAGTGGTCAAGTGCCCTGAGTTCAATATCTGGTACCACATACACACACACAAAAAGGTTTTTGACTTATAGATAGAAGAGTAAATGTGGCCAGTATATGTTAGGATTGGAACTAGAGAGACCTCTTGAAAGAGTTGAATAGTCATACTCTTACCCAGACTTTTTCTCACTTAGCCAGACACAATATTAGATGTAGACTAAGGTATCAGGGTCAGGGCAACCTAATAGTACCTTATTCTCCAACACTATCAGCTCACCCATTCTTTTGCCCCAGAATACACATTAAAATGGTCCTCCAAGTCTCCAATTAACTGAAAGAACTGGTTTTCTCTCTGTGTTTTTCAGGGAAAAAATTAGTATTCTGATGGAATTTTCTATATCAGGATTGTGTTATAAATTCATAAACTTCTGGTGATAAATGTAAGACTGAGCATTGCTAAGTGAGGACATTCTTATTGAAGTCATAAAGGGCTTATTTTTTTGTGACAGACAATTCACTGGGATAGGTATTTGCAATTGCTGAGAGATGGTTTTGGGATTGTTCTCCCAGGTTCTATTCCCAGCTCTGTCATTTACTAGCTGTGTGATCTTAATTGAAGGACTGGACCTTTTCATGTCTCCTTTTCAGCACGTGTGAAATGGGCACAATAATAGAATCTGCCAGTTTTTTTTTTTTTTTTTTTTTGTGGCCTGCACTGAGTAATTGGGGGTTAAATGAGTGTAATTTGCAAAACTAATGAAAAAAATCTTGACATACAGTAATTCTTGACAATAATAGCATTTATTATTATTTCTCCTTAATATATAACCTCACTAGCTATATCTATTTTTTTTTCATTTCATCCCCTTGAATCTGTATTGGGCCCTAATATTATGCCTGAGGAAGTTGCATGTATTGGGTGTTATGATTTAGATATTAGGTGTTCCCTAAAAGCTCATGTGTGAGACAGTGCAAGAAAGTTTAGAGGTGAAATGATTGAGTTATGAGAGCCTTAAATTAATCAGTGCATTAATCCTCTGATAGGGTAGGCAAATAGGTTGTGAGTCAATGGGGGGCATGATCTTGGGGTATTGTGTGTGTGTGTGTGTGTGTGTGTGTGTGTGTGTGT